TATGCTCCCTGAAAGCACCACCAAGCAGTGAGTGTCTTATGCTCTCTCTTCTTCTCTCTGGTAGAGAACGGAACAAGTCCCCGAAGACGAGCCAGCAGAACACTCCAATAAGACAACTTACTGCTGCTGCAGCAGACGTTGAGGTTCACATTTTCGCGCGTCTAGATCTCCCCTTCCTGCCCGCGGTGCAAGACAGCGGTGCTGCTCCTCCTCCAGCCCCGCCCCGCCTTGAATGACCCGGCCCGCGGAGGCAGCCAGTCCCGTGCGAGAGACAAGGGGTTACGTCCTACTGTACTACAACACCCACCATCCCCTCCCCCTTTCCCCGGGCCGGCCCGACCTACCGCAACAAGTGCGCAGGAGGAACAAATCCAAGAGGGGCGGAGCGAGGCGGGCACATTGGGCAAGCCGATGGCGTAGCAACCCTACCCCGCCCCGCCGCCCTCCCCCTTTGTCTAGAGCAGGGCCCACAGCCTCGCAGACGCGGTGAGGAGAGAGACGAAGATAGCCCAAAGGGGAGAAGGGTGCGGGGGAGAAGGCGGCGCAGGCGCGACGCACGGTGCGCTTCTAGTGCATCGACAGAGCCCGGCCACGACCAGCCACGACGCCGAGGGAAAGCAGCCGCCAGCCCAGGAGGGGACACACGGGCAGGGGGCGGCGGCGGAACAGGCCAGCAAGTCTGTACTGGGGACACTGCCCCTCTCCTCCAGCAGTGATTGGACTGGAGGCCTCGGCCGCACGCACCCCTCCCCCAGGTCGGCCTCGTTCCACCCCGTTAGACCAAATGACAGGTCAGCCGGAGGGGCGGCGGCGGCGGCGCCAGGACTCCACCCCACCGCAGCAGGGCCCCGCAGGCAGGGCCGGCCGAGGTTAGGGCATTAAGGATGCGCATTGGATAGCAGCCCGCCAGCCCTGCTGCGCCACCCCGCCCCGCCACCCCTCCGGCCCGCAGCCCAAAGGTCACACATACCGCGGAGGCCAGCCAGCCGGCGCGGGGCGCGCGGCCTGCGGAAGTGGTGGCGTGCCAGCGGGACGCAGCGCAGGGTGGGTTCGTCGCTCCCTGCTCCGCCGAAGCGCCGCCCTCCTCCTGCTGCAGCTCGCGAGAACACACGAGTGTGCTAACCGCCGGTGCGCGCTAGTTATTAGCACCATTTTAAAGAAGTTGGGGGCTTCTTTTTCTCATGTTCCTCGAACTGACTGTGCCGAGTTCAGTAGGTTTGCAAGCCCTGGAAAGTTTCCGGAAAAAAGGACAGTTTCAGAGAAAAGTGGAAAATTTCCCAGACTTTGGAAGTTTTTCGTTTCTTCGGTAAATTTTCGGGAATTTTTCATAGTTATAAGTGTAGTTATAAGTGTAGTTATAAGTGTAGTACACGACGTGTCCGACAGTCAAAAGCGTCATTTGTAGCTGTCGGACACGCGGTGTCCTACACAAAGAACTGTAGTACACGTCGTGTACTTCACTTATAACTGTAGAACACAAATGGTATGACAGTTTAAACGGCAGTACAATTAGTATGACAGTTTAAACTGTCATACTGTACGACACTTGAGTTTCCAGAGCGCCAAGGTTTCAATAAAAAAAAGTATCGTTCCATCGTTCCACAGCTAGATACGCAATTCGAGCACACGACTCCATGATGTCCCTCCTTGTCCCAGCGCGGGAAGCCCCACGACGACAGAGACCCGTGCCCATACGTTCACCACCACCACCAGCAACGGCACCCGACACCCTGGCCGCCACGCTCCGCCCCCGCCACGGCGCGGTGACCACACGTCCGCCCGACACGGCGGCGGCCGCACGTCGAGCACACACACACACGCACACACAAACATACACGTGTCCTGAAAATCGAAGCCGCATACTGCTGCTGAGGGAAAGGGGAAAAAACACTACCCACACCACACGTCAAAAAGCGTTTACAATCCTTGTTAACAAATACACCCACCGCTTTCTAAAGCAAAACAGCTGGCAACATGTTTCAAATTGAAACTAAGTCTTTGATTAATTACCAATTGATAAATACATTTCCCATAAAAATACAAAATTCCTATCAACGCACGGTTTAGCCTCGTCCCTTGCACTCCTCTGGCAGCTGCTCGGCTAGCAGCGCAACCACGGCATCATTGACGGCGCGTGCTTCTGCACCGCCATGGTCGAGCGATCACTTGACGACCCCAACGACACGACCTGGGCCAGGTCGCGGGCGGGGTGGCGGTCCCCGCGGGGGCAGCGCCACGGGGGGCAGCGCTCGCACAGATCGTTATCAGCGGCAGCCCCGACTCCCGGCCCCGCGGCGTCCAGAGACAAATGGGCCCATATCGTAACAGCTGTCAATAAACCAAACCTGGTGAAACTGAAAATAACCCCAAAACAGCTTAGCCAGCGCGAGCGCGGCGCGCGGGTGGGGGGAGGCCGAAGGAGCGGGGCAGCGGGGCGAGGCAGACACCGGTGCAGTTTTCCAACGGGTGCACCAACCCGGATGGCGTTACTAGCGCCAGGGTCAGCAGAAGTTGACCGACTAGCGCACGCCACCGTGTCAATAAAGTAAAGGGAGGGGTGGGGGATATGGAGTAGAGAGGGGAGAGGAGATAGGGGAAGGGGTGCGGCAACGGCACCAGCGACATCGACACACGCACAGCAGCAGCAGGACGCCGTGAGAACATGAAGAGCGCCGGCGACATCCTTTCCACCCGGGCCAAACACTACAGTGTACGCCAACCGTACGCCAAGTAGTGTCGGACAAGGCGCGCGGGAGTGGCGGACACGGACACCACACGGACAACACAACACCCGACACCTCCAGGCCAGGCTCGCCTCCGGAGCCTCACCCATAGGCCGACCATTTCATTCTCTGGATGATGGCAGTAGTAGTGTGTGCCACGATAGGAAGCCGCAAGCCCGCAGCCCCCCCCCCAAACCCTCCCCAGCGCCGCCCTATCTCACCCCCTTAAGCCTCGGGGCACGGCATTCCCTCCCCCCCCCCTCCCGGGGCCGCCCACAACCGCAGCACCCCGCCGCAGGCCGCCCCATGGCATCCCCATCGCGGCCGCGGCCCGGTCCGGGCGCCACCCACGCACACCAGCCGAGAAGTAAGGCAACAACACACAATTTGGCCGTCAACACATCTACAGAATGTCAATCACAAAGTCGCGGACACGTCACGCGAGATCTAAATTTTTCGTCACTTTATGGAAAAACTTTGAAGACGGTTACATAATGGCGCTGCGGGATATTCTTTTCTTTTCGCAATACGCGTGGCGCACTACTGAGCTACAGTGGTCACTCGGGCTGGGTCGTGTTACCCAGGCAGGGAAGCCCACCAGAGCGCGGCGACACCGTCCTAGGCGGAGGTATAGGGTCTCTTCTATCCTGCTCTAGGCGCAGGGCAGGACAGTGTAACGAGCGAGCCAACCTCCGGCGGGACCTCCGTGCGGGGGAAACTTGCGGGGCATCTTGGAGGGTCAGGCCAGGCGGGCCGGCCGAGCACGGCGGAGGCACACGGTCCGCCTCCTTTCCCTACCCCGGGGCGAGCAGCGAGGCATGCCCTGCCCTGGTCGCCTAGTCGGTAATCCCCGACACTGACCTCAGGCGGCAGGACCTCTCTCTCTCTCTCTCTCTCTCTCTCTCTCTCTCTCTCTCTCTCCCCTCCCACCCCGCAAGGTAGTAGTAGTAGTACGACCCTGCTGCTCCCCCTACTTCCTTCCGCCAACCACGCCCAAGCAATGTGGGCGGGAGAAAGGGAAGGCAGCGCAGGCACCCTGCACCCTCCCCGAGAAATAACCCACACAAACTTGTTTCTCTCTCCGATGCTCTCCTTCCCGGAAGCACAGAACATGGCATGAGCATGAGGAGAGCCCCGCGACTTGCCGCTGTTGTTGTCGAGCTGGGCGGGGGGCTCTCCCGCGGGCCGACATGGGGCCAACATCATGTCGTACGTTACTCGCGTACATACACACTGCGCGCAGCGGGCGCACCGAGCAGCGCGGCCCATCCCACGCCATCGCCGCCCTTTTCAATCTGGACACACGCCCCGCCCCGCCCCCAGAGGGCGTCCTGGAGGGGGCGCCCCTGCCGCGGCGGCCCCACGCCCCGCCACGTGCGACAGCTGTCAGGCCGCACGAGGGGCAAGAGAGGGGAGAGGAGAGGAGTCAACATGGGCTGACGTATCTGCAAAGGATTCGCCCGTCCGCGACAATGCCCAGGGCTGCCTTGCTCCCCCTCCCCCCTCCCCTTCCCCCCGCCCCCGCTCCAAGGAAGGGCCCATATCTGCTTCACGCCGCGATGACGGCGGCCGGTAGAGGAGCAGAAACAGCAACAACAGTAGCAGCAGCAGCAACAACATTTGAAAAGACAAGTACGTAAAGCGTGCTCACGCAGACACGCTGCTGCTGCTGCGTCCGCGCGCTTCCGAGGACAAAACAAAATTGAAATAGAAAAAAGGGAAAAAAACGACGAAGAAAAAAACAACATACCCACCGCCTCAGGAGAGGCGCCCTTCCGGCACGCCTCTCCTAGCAGACGGCTCCCCTCCGCGCTCCGCCCCCCTCAACCCACCCCTCTCCAAGCTCAAGCAGTCCGAACTGCCCCCAGAGGGCTCTCCGTCCCCAGGACCCCCCGGGGACACCCCCCTCTGCACGTCTCGCGCACCAGTTACACCCCCTATCTCACTCCAGCGGCGACTCCAGAGGCACGTACAGCACAGGACAGCCCCCCCCCCTCCACGGTCCGTCCAGAACGGAACGGACCCACCGATACATAACGGCGCCAGGGACAATTCAATTCCCAAAACGCACCTGCGCGGGGTGCACGCTTTAGAGCACATTACAACACACCTTCGCTCGCAGAGCACACCGACGCGAAAAACAAAATAAAAACACGAACAAGAAGCACCTTTCGAGCGGGTGTACAGTTCTTTTTCTGTGGGTGTACAGTGACAGCATGTGGTCGCGACTGCCTCGGCGGCGCCACGAGGGCTCTGCGCGCGGCTACCAACACTTACCTTGCCCAGCATGATGAGGCGGATGGTGAGGGTGACATTCTCGTCGGAGATCATCTGGTCCATCTCCATGACTGCTTGGTTCACCTCAAGGTCTGCAAAAAGAGAAAAAAAAGAAGGAATAAGGTAAAGTTCAACGCTCCAAAAATAAAGTGGAAAAAAAAGGAAAATATGTATTGACAAAATGCGGGTGCATGTGTGTCACCCCCCCCCCCCATGATGCATCCCAAAAAAAAAAACATAAGAAAGGGAAATCAGTGGCCAAAAAAAGAGACGGAGAAGGGGACAGGGCGGGGCGTGTCAGCCGAAATGCGTAAGGGGAAAAAAGGATGGAAAGTGAGTAGCAGTGGAGCGATAAGAGGGCGACTGCTCGCTTTGGTCCAGAGTCCACACTCACATACATGGCGGGCCCACATCACACATCGCCCGGCCCGGGACGCAACGAAAAGTCAAATCGAAAAGGAGCCAGGTCAACCGAAACCGAAAGAAGAAATGCAGACGAAAACCAACAACAACAAATAACCACGAGTCCCCAACTCTACAAGTGTATCGTTCCAACATATCAAAGTGTGCAGCAGGACGCATCCTATACGTACACGTCTGCACGCCGCAGGACGACATCTCGCCGGAGACGTAGGCAGCCCTCTTACACTCTCAAACACTCACACAAGCATACACCTCGGAGTCTTCACTGACCGCACACAAGAACACACTCGCGGCTAGGGTCGCGCGTCGCAGCGGGGCGGACGGGAAGAGAGAGAGAGACGGGGTAGGCGAGGCGAGGGGCAAGGACTCGGGAGACGATGTTAGCGGCTCGGCGCAGGACAGATCACTGAGTGTGAAGAGTGTGTGTACACGGCACGGGACGGGCGCGGCAGCCGGCGGCGGCGCTCGGGTCGGCCCCGCGGACAGCCGGACGGGCGACAACGCGCTCGGCTCGACGGGCCGAAGGGAAGGGACGGGGGCCGAAGGTGTCCACGGTCCGGCCGACCGACCAGCCTAGAGGGGCACGAGGAGGGAGAGTGAGGGAGAGCGTGGACGGGCGGCGCGGGAAGTCCCACGGCACGGCGACAGGCAGGCGCACCGGCCGGGGCGAGCGATGGCAGAGCAGTATTCTGCGAGGCACCTTCCAAACTCCTCCTCGGCCCGAGAGGGATAAAAGCGCGCGGCCCAGGAAGAAATTGGAACAAAATAAGAATATGGCAGTGAAAGAAAAGCCGAAGTGGACGAGGCCGCGCGCACGCCGCCGTCAAGGAAATGCAAAGTACAGTACATGATCCAGCTCGCGCTGCAGAAACAGGACCTTTGGCTCTAAAGGGAGAGACCTCTCGCTCTGTCTAGTCCATGCATTATGGATTATCCCCCCGCTCGTCCCGGAGCGCGAGCAGGGCGTCCACCAACAGCGCACCGCCACCGCGCTCGCGCTCGACCGGAATATATATTGATTTTCTTTTTCGACAAGCCATTATGACGACGGGGGCTAAACAAAGAGGATGCCGCCGCAACCTGCTGTCCCACCTTATCTTCATCACTGCGGAGGGGTGGGGCTCGGTGGGGCGTGGCGCTACTCTGAAGTTCGTCCCAGGGCTGGCCGCGTGGCCTCCTGACCTCCCGCCATGTATTATTTCCATGTTTCAAGAGAGTTTCCAAAATATTTTAGAGAGAGAGAAATAGAGAGGGGGGGGGGAGGGTCACTTACATGACATTTCCCACTTTAAAATGTATGAGCAAGCAAAACACTCAGGACACTATATATATGTGCAGACCCGTATGGTAAAGCCATGTAGTGAACACACACCATCACCGCCGCCGCCGCCAACACTCTGGCAACTCCAGCACACATTCTGCCCCGCCAAAAACCTTTTCCCGCGCAGCGCGAAGCCAGGCTGGCCCAGAGTTTTGTGCCAAACTAAAATAATCCCGATGCTGTCTGCCCCGCCCGCGCCCGCTCCGCCCCGCGAGGCTCTGCGTCGAGTCGAGAGCGGCGACCTCACGCCGCTCCGCACTCTCGCGGTATCCATCCGCCTGCTCTGCGAGCCTGGCCCCCCCAACAGCTGGCCTGCCCGCCAACTTTGAAAATTCCGCCCTCGCCCCGCTTCGCCGCGCTCCGCCACCCGCTCCTGCCGTTGCTGCCGCTGGTGGAGTGGAGAGGAGTTTCAGTTTGTTGTGCCTCCCCACCCACCCTCCCCTCCGACCGAGT